CTGTTTTGGGCTGCAATAAATTACACTGATTTGAGGCTATCATGATTATTTGTAATATCTGCTGACCCATAAGAACAAATGTCTTGTCAAATATTACAGCTTGAAAAAAAATTAATTATATTGTATTGACAAATGAAAATTATCTATCGAGTTACTTTTTCTTCCTCTTCGCTAATTAGTATTCACCATGGTTGTCGGTCATGTGACTCAACGGCCAGACAGCGAAGCCTGAGTTTGTACAGGAGAGAGCTTTTGGGGAGATGACGTGAAGAGAAAATGCTTCCTTGACATGTGGGTAAAGCGGGCTGGATTTGAGTAAAACAGACATTTTAACATCCACTAGCTTTCCTTTCCAGGGTTGGAGAGAAGGCAATGTAATTTATTTGTAAGCACGTTCTTTTCCTATAAAATAAAAACCTTCATTTACGTTCTTTCGACTTCTTCTTAGCCGTTTTTATTTTTAGTGTTTGGTTAAATATTTGTACCTAAGGCAGATAAATCTTTCTTAATTTTTCATTCTTATTTAATCAGAAAAATTCGTCTTTATAGTTGTCTTTCTGTCCAGATTATGTAAAAATGGATAAATAATAGATGCGATATTTCGGGATAAGGAACTATTTTGACGAGATTTTCAAGTATCAATGCATAGAGTAAGTAATTAGCACCGAAATTTTCGGGTGATGAAATTTTCTGTAATATAGCACATCGCTAGAATGCGTGAGAGATAACCAATAGGATTCAGGAATTTCAGTGACATTATTTGTGTGTTCTATTACTTTGACGATCACAACAATATCATTCAAAGTGAAAAGGAATTTTAGATGTTGTAGTTTAAATTCTTTGAAACTTTAAACTCGATGTCAATTTCCTAGTCTAAGTTTTTGTGTAAACTTCCATAGCCTAAGTAAACGTTTTTACCTCATAAATTATATATAATGAATGTAATAAAATAGAGAAAGACATTGCTTTAGAGCAGTTGTTCCCAAACGGATCAGCGCACCTCATATGTGCGATGGAAGAGAATAGCAGGTGAAGCGGAATTAGAAACAGTTTCAAAAATTCATATGCTATAAATAAATATGATTTCAAAATTTAAACTATAATTATGGATTACTTGCAATATTATGGATGAGTCCCAGTATAAATAGTTATAAATAATTATTGACCGATTTTATAATTTTGATATTTTTGCATTATATCAAGTATTAAGAATATAGTAAACTAAAGTCTGCAAATTGGAGGAGAGAGTTATCAATGATAATGTTCTGACTTCGATTCTGCTGTTATCTCCTTTTATGCTTATCTCTGTTTGTTTTAATGTACTTTTTATCACATAAACTTTGGTGAGACGCAAAGAAATTTTAATTCCGGAAATGCGGCCCAGAGAAAAAACAGTTCGAGAAACACTGCTTTTGAGTGTAGAAGATAGCCGTAATTGAGTAAAGTAAAACTGTTATCTTATCAAAATATCCTTCGCTAACACACTTTCAAACAGAACCTATTTCCTGCAACTGACTGGGAAAGTATCTATCTATCTATCTATCTATCTATATATATATATATATATATATATATATATTCAAACAGGTTTGGTTAAATTATTTAGACATATCATGTTGATTAGTTTTCGTCGTGATCCTTTCAAGTTCGCGGATTAATTTCTTGGTTGCCTTAGAAAACTGATTAAGAAACATACCAAAATTTTCTTTCGAATAGTTTTTATTTTCCAAAGTACTTTCAATCTTATCTGAGACCATCTTCAGGGTTTTAAGTTGTCTCTGAGTGTGTATATGTGTTTCTGTAAATTCAAAAGATTTCAACTGTTCGTTTTTACTGCTTATGCAGGTTTACATGACTAATTTAAGAAATAATGTACTTATAACCGCAACAAACTTCATTGACTTAAGATGTAGATGACATTCTCATTTTAGTCAAAGACATAGATGAAATACATAAACTGTAAGAAAACTTTTAAAAATCTCTGTGCTTAAGTTCACATATGAATTTAAGAAGGGCAAAAAAATACCATTCCTCGATGTAATGAGAGACAGTAAGAATAATAATACATTCACTTCCTTTCCTTATTAAAAAAAAACAACTAGTATAAACATAGGTACTCTCAACTATAAAAGTGAATGTCCTATTACAATATATCTAGTTTACGAAACTTAAGAAACCGTGCAAAATCAAATTCTTCAACAAAAAAGATTTTCTAGACTAAATTAAAAGTTTTTAAACAATGACTAATTAATAATGACTTCCCTAATTACATTGCTGATGGACAAATTAGACAAGCTATTAGGAATATTAACATAAATAAAAACGAATGCAATACATCATCAAATAACTCTAAACATATCAAATTACTATATCGTAATTAAATGCATTCCAACTATAAACAGGGGGAAACATTCTAAAAGAAAAATAACCCATAAACACTAATATATCCCCCACTGATCCAAACAATAAAATAAAATTAATTATATACTATACTAAATCCTTCTCGGCCAACTAGCATCTTGCAAAAGTCCAACATTGCATATCAATTTTAATGTCCTTTGGGAGATTGTATCTCTGGTAAAAATGTCAGTACGCAATACCCTAGGTGGTCGTCCAAAAATTCCAACACTTCGGCTGGTCGCTGAAGTGACCGCTTCAATCCAGAGATAACCTTACCCCGCGTTGGGATTTAAAGTTGATCATAAGGCAGTTAAGATGGAATCGTCGCAGGTATCTTTGTGTTGGGCTGGTCCAAGCAGGGCGGTGACGTACAAGGAAAAAAAAAACCTCGAATAAATTAAACAAAAGTAAATACTGTTTTATATCAGTCGTCTGTACAATAATTGGTTATATTAGATTTCGCATGCAATTAATTATCAGCCCGCATCTAAATCGGAAGTGATACTATCGTCGACCTGGCAAACGCCTGGTTTGCTGTTGTTGGTAAAGTTTGGCCCAAGGCTGAAGTCGAAGGCTTCTCCTCGTCAGATAATCACATGGACGGCCTCTCTTCTTTCTTCTGCCGCTGTCTCTGTCTCTTCTGCTCCGATTCGTCACCTACTGAAGAATTCGCTTCGGGCATTCGTATCTATTAACATAATTTTGGGGACATCCCTTCCCCCCAATCTCTCATATCATTACTTCTCACTAAACCTCCTCAGTGAGCGTGGGTGGCGTATCCACCCCTCCTGTCTTGAATCAACTTTCAACTAGGAGAATCAACTCCAAATTCGTTGTTTACGAAAATGAAGTTTCCGCTTTACACCTTTCATTTGCAGATGTGTGTCAATCAACATTGCCCCTTAAATCTAGATCACTTTTCCATTGTTCAAATTGCTTGACGTACAATTCAAGTTGTTTATGTGTGAATTAAATTCTCAATTCTTCACACGGGTTTTTTGGTATTAACGCTTCTCGTTTCAACGTCTCTCAGCACATAAGACTTTCTTATGTCTTAAAAAAACTTTCTTCCGTTTTACCGCGGTATCACACGTTGGCTTTACTACGACGATGCTAACAAATCGGCTTACATTTCATTTAGAGGAGCATAGTTCAATATCTCAGTATTTAAAGGAACACTCATGCCCACACACACAGATCAGACGGATATTAGTTGAAAATACATCTATATTACATAAAAACAATAACAAGCAAAACCTAAAAACACTATATAAGAGAATTAAAGCCAAAAAAAAAAAAAATAAAGTCAACTATGAGTAGAGCAACATAGTCCTTAAATGCTAATTTTTTTTAAAAATTATAAATGTATGAGCAAAAATGGAAAACTTACTTCTCTTATACTGGAGAAAAAACAAACAAAAAAAAACACGAGGACTTTGAACTTTGAAATCTAGAACGCTGCATAAGCAGTAAAAACGAACAGTTGAAATCTTTTGAATTTACGGAAGCACATATTCATACTCAGGGACAACTTAACACCCTGAAGATGGTTTCAGATGACACTGAAAGTACTTGGGAAGATAAAAACTATTTGAAAGAAAATTTTGGTATTTTTTTTAATCAATTATCTAAGGCTACGTAGAAATTAATCCACGAACTTGAAAGAATCACAACGAAAACTAATCCGCATGATATGTCTAAATTATTTAACCAAACCTGTTTGAATGAAAATATGCTGTCTAAATATACACAATATATATATGTGTGTGTGTGAGAGAGAGAGAGAGAGAGAAAGAGAGAGATAGAGAGAGGGGGCAGAGATAGATACTATGGACACCCACGTAAATGGAGATCAGTTGGTTTTATCTTGATCTCAAGTGTTTCTATTTGATAGACCAGCGGATGGTTTCCTTGGAATTGAGAAGTAAAGAAATTTTCGGGGATAAAGTGACGATAAAACTGGAAATAGAGTATATCCGGATGCTAGTCTATATTAAGAGTCATACTTGGGATTGGGAAGAGTTCTGGTCCGCCTTGGCGGGAGACAGATGTGTTCGTGTTGAGTTTCCGAAGCCTCCATTTCGTATTGCCATCCACCACGTCAAGATGAGTAGATAAGCTTGGAGTTGGTACTAGGAAGAGCTGACGTAGTTTGTCCCAGGTATCTTAAACCTACCCACCTGGGCGAGTAAACAAAGCCCTGAATAAAACACCTACATATAATACGAAAAACAGGGTTCGCATTATTTCTCGATACGGTGTATTTTCTTTCATCGTGTCCCCTTGTAAGCATGCAGCGCGCTAACCCAGAGCTTTCGATGAACACCAACGATAACTGAAAATCAAAATGCAACGTGGGATGACCATTGGCCGGTCGATAGAAAGCTTGGATGAGGGTCGCGCTGTTTGCAACTGGCGTTGTGATCAAGGATATTGACTCTGGGAAATGCATGCAGAATGCCGGAAAAAAAACAGATAATTTATATTTTAAAATACTGAATGCGACCGGAAGAACCTTGAAAGAAAAGGCAAACAAACTAAGGCCCAAGAATGTGCGCGCGCACAACAAAGAACTCTCTTGTTAAAAAGAAAGGGAAACATTAAGCAAAAAGACGCCCGCCAAAAATAAAAGCGGAAGGAAAAAGAAAAGAATGGAACACACGCATGTGAAAGAAAGGGAGACGCATACACGAAAAACAAAAAAGAGGAAAAAAGGACGAATGAAAACGAGTGTTCAGAAAATACGACCAAGAAAGTTTCCACCGGATAAAAGAGAAAAAGAAAGAAAAGAAACACTCGAGATGTTGCGAGTGTCAGGTTGTATGTTTACATACAGGCAAAACTCTCATCTATGGACACCCTATCAACGGACTTTTGGATGCAACGGACAAAATCTGCAGGCAAAATAAAAAAAAAAATCTGCAGGAAAAAAAACTTCCAAATCGTCAGCGATGTATTTCAAAATTTGCGTGCTTAGCCGAACGAGTCATATGAGTTCTCAAAGTGACCGCTTGGTGGGCCTTTGAATTGTAAACAAAGACGAGTGTACAGTATATAAAGTACGGCACATTAACGCTTGCATGAGGAAGTAAATGTGAGAAATCTATTATTTTTGTTCTTTTGATTGATATATCTATATTAAGTAAAAATTTATCTATGACATATATACATGTTTATAGCATTTGCATTATGATCATAACTATTGGTAATTACTATAGTGGTTTTATAACTCAAAAATAATCCCTTCTCATCTATGAACAATCGACTTTAACGGGCCACCTTCCCCATATTAGTCCATTGATGAGAGGCTTGTCCGTATATATATATATATATATATATATATATATATATATATATATATATATATGAGCACAGATAAATTACAAGTTATTTTATGGGGTAAAGTAATATTGACATAGTTCACATAATTTGTTTATGACTGTTATCAAAATCTATGGAAAGAAAAAAATGATCTTGCCCATGAAACTGTTAAACTATTACTTTATTCTTATTCGAAAATTATAACATAAATATGTTATAAAGTCACTACAAAAATAGCCATTTTGTTTCAACACTTCTGATGTCTTATCAAGTGATGGTGTTGAATGTAATTGTGTATTAAGTTAAGCAGTAACTGGAAGTAGTAACTTGAAGTAATCCCTCTTTTATGCGAATTTCATTAAAAACGACTGACAATGTGTTGTGGTTGAGTTTTTTTTTATATAATTTCTCACGTGGTCGTATAACTTTTTTCTTTTCAGGATATAAATTACATGAAAATTGTACTAATGTTTTCCAAGTGCTTTCAGCTATACTTTTAGCCATTATCAAGAATGCATTTTATTTTACTTTTAACTGAATATATCGATTGTTTTATGTATGCTGAGTATCACATTATGTTTTGGGATTTCATTATTTAAATGAAGTATTTCATTTTTAACTGTTGTTATTTTACGACAAATGACAGGAATACGACAACATTAATGAAAATTACAAATTTACTAAATTATTTTCTTATCAGACGCTATAGTTGAATTATTTTATTTTTATTTTATTAATGTTCACCCAATTCAAAGCCCAAGGGCCACTCAAGGTAGAGGGTCGCTGTGTGGAGTTGTATTAGCGTAAGAAAAGCCAAGAAGTGAAGTTCTTAGCACTTTGCAGGAAATATGACAGCTAACTCTAAACTTGAAGAGGTCAAGATTTAATTAGTGAATAAGATTTCACAGTTCAGTTGGAGATGTTAGAAGTATAGTGTGGAAGTATACATTAGAAGGAACCGGAAACCCAATCCTGAACAGGAAACAACCTGTCTACTCCTATTGTATTGTAAGCAAAAGTAAACGATAATAAGGATATATAGATAAAACCAAATAAAAGTAAATCAAATAAAGAAATTGAAAAAATGAAGAACGAGAATAAATAATTGATGACGAATGGAAAAATGTTTATGAATATGAAATACTACAAAAATATTTTTGTTCTTTTGATTAATATATCTATATTAAGTAAAAATGCTTTTACATTATGATCATAACTATGCCATATATACATGTTTATAGTATTTACATTATGATCATAACTATTGGTAATTACTATAGTGGTTTTATAACTCAAAAATAATCCCTTCTCATCTATGAACAATCGACTTTAACGGGCCACCCTTCCCCCATATTAGTCCATTGATACATTATGTTTTGAATTGCAAACAAAGACGAGTGTACAGTATATAAACGTTGGACATATTTAAAATTTTATGAGATGATATTTGACGCTGATAATACCACAGATGATAGAAAGGGGATTTCTTTAGACTTCTTGGAATATATCTCCCCCTTTATGCACGATGTGAATAATTTTTGGCTAGTGCCACATTTTTGGTTTTACCAATTAGGTAAATGTTTTGAGTAGAGTTACTTAAATTTAATGAAAATGATTAAGTAACATGGAGAAAGTTTCGCGTGTGTGTTCATATTTTTGTGTGTGTTTGTGAGTCCATTCGTGTGTGTGTGTGTTTATGTGAATAAATGCCGACATAGACATATCTTATCTCTTCTTTTCAAATATCGTTGATTTTAACGTCCGAAACCAATTCTGCATTCCTAATACTGGATTACTCTCTTTAGACTTCCCTTAGATTTGTTTTAATGGCTGCATACATTTTTTTTTCAACGAATAAAAACTGAAACATATTTATGTATTTGTGTTACATTAGCCTCAGAATTTCTAAAACAAAAAAAAATATAACAAAAATAAAAAACTGGTCGAACGACCCATTTTGTGGGTAGGGAGAGGTGGGCGATTTAAAATCTTACATCAGAAATAAAAACGAAAAATGACGCCTGAAATGAAATCTAACGATATACTAACAATTACTTAATCTCCAAGAAAAAATTCATGAACATATTTAAAATTTTATGAGATGATATTTGACGCTGATAATACCACAGGTGATAGAAAGGGGATTTCTTTAGACTTCTTGGAATATATCTCCCCCTTTATACACGATGTGAATAATTTTTGGCTATTGCCACATTTTTGGTTTCATAGTTATTTTTTCAAGTATTAGTCAGTTTTTATAATTTAGATGAAATAAAATCTTGCATTTCAAACACCATATTTGTTTTCTTTTTATTTCTGATGCAAAAAGTTTCAGTTCTAAATTTTTAATTATATATGGAAAAAAGTATGTGCTCAGAATACGAAGCTAGGTAAATTAAACAAAGGGAGGTAATTCAGTATTTAGAATATCCTCCATCTCTTTCTCGATTTACATGCATAAGTTCAAAAATATGAATATTCACATATTTTATATGTGTGGCACAATGGTTTGGGATGATCATGAATTTTATGACCCCCAATCGTAACGTAAAAGTTTCAAAGATACCACTCGCCGTCCAAAAATAGAAAAAAAAAAAAGAAATAAATTGTGTAAATAAATACATAGAAATATTCGGGGTGAAGTTCTTTAGCTGGAAAGTAAGGAATTCCGGTTATGGGCGTATGTAGTAAGGCTGCATTCTAGATAAAGCAAGTTAAAAGACGTCTGTGGAGATGTAGTCATGTGCAGTCACAGTTACAGTCGCAGTTAAAGACACGGTTAGAATAAGAAGAGATATAAAGACCGGTGTCTCACTGGTCGAAAGGAAAACCCGGTCTGTTAATCTGTCTTGAGAGAAGAGAGAAGTAACAGCGAAGACGTCCCAATTTTCATTTACCTACCACCAGACAGTATCAATTGAATACATGAAGAAAAAAAAAAAACGAATATATTGAACGGGATTTTTTTGTCACCGTGTCCGTATTTCACATTTTATTTTTCGTTTTATATTTAAATAATGGCAGACCACATTTAGTTCCTTTGTTGAACATAAATCGGGCCTTTCTCAGTTTTCCTTCACACCGACAGAAAAGGAAAGCAAGCCATGGGGTGATGCAGAAGCTGACCAGTCGGTGACAATTTGTCTGATGAACCGATTTATGTGTTCACATATGCATCTACAGTATGTATTTATTCATCAACATCTTCTATACACAAAATCATACACAGGCACGCATAAAATAGACTTATACACACATTCTAATAGAGGCACAAGTACATAAAGAAAGAGAGGCAAGATAGGGGGAGAGGCGAGTAGAAATGTTACTGCGTATCTCTGCAATTTTAGAACAGATCACTAATTTTAAAAGAAATCGTTAAAGATATCTGTGAAGCGTTTAGGAATATAAGTAAAAAGACTAGAAAACACGAATTGTCCAACGATTCCCTTTAGAAATAAAACTTTATTTAATTTCCAGTCATCCTCTCAGCACTCCTTTAGACATGCTTCTAATTATTCTCATCGATTGTGTCCGTAAAGAATGAAGGAATAAATTAATGAACAAACGGATCATCAATTCTGTCGGTTGCAAATAACAAAACACCACATTCCTCTTATAGACACCATAAAATCAGAAACACACATCCTTGAAATGATTCTATTGTTGCAAATCTCATTAGTCCGAATAATTATGTAAAAACAAAGAAACTGAATAATAATCAGTATAATTAGTTTTTTCGACTTGTTTTATTCGTTACTCTGTACAACAGAGCTTACGTCGTAGTTTCCAATGTCTAATCTATTTCGTAGCAAAGAGAATAATACAAAAGTATTTATTTTATATTTATTTCATGGCAAGGCACCAAATTCAGGGTGATATGCGTTTGAATCTTGTCAAACACAGTTTCTGTGAAATCCAAAATAAGATAAATTTTACTTTGTGAATAACTGATGCTTTGATTGTTTTCTTTTTCTAATTAAATCCTTAACATTAAAAATGATGAAACTTATAAAGATTCCGAAGAGAGCATGTAAAACATTCTGTTTCGACAATCTTGAACATATTAAATCATTCAAAGATCAAGTGTTTGATGGCGGAATTATATCGAATGCTTTTATAGTCACGATTTTTTTTAATTGTCAGTTTCTTTTTTTCATCTGTAAATATTTTTTTTTGTTTCACCTACAACTATTTTTATTCTAGTAATAATCTGCCCATCGTGTGTAAGTATTTTATCATATTTGTCTGGTTAGGATTTTCCACATCATGGTAGGCAAGTTATGGCCCTGTAATTGCTTTCCATAGTTACTTTCTAAATATTCATTTGGATTAGACTTGTCATTTTCTAGTCCTCTATTGTGGAATTTTTTCTTCCTTCAGCCATGTTTATAGGTTCTTGGCAAGAAAATTAATCCCTTAGTAAAATTTGAAGGCTAAACATTATAGATCTCTTCTGATTCTGGTAATTTCTAAT